TGGCCATACATGGAAGCTAACTGCTGGTGTATCTTCAATCATGGCATCTCATTGGTGATAAGCATGAACATGCCAGTTTCACCAAAGAAAAGCCAAAAACTGCACCTCTGCAACAAGCTACGATAAAAGAAAATTGAAAAGAAACATGGCACTTGGCAGCAAATTGAAATTATTTAGAACAGGGATCCCCAAATTATTTCACCGATTTTCCATTGATTTTTAGAGCTTATATCTGTTCTTCTTTTGGTGTTTGGGTTTGCTATCATCAGTTAGCAATGTATGTGCCCTATTTGGTCATTACAAGTCAGTTTTAAGCCATTTTGAGTCCTACAACAAGGGTTCGTAATAAGAAAATGTACCTACCTAATAACACAGTACTCACATTCAGAAAAGAAGAAAAATCATCTATCAATTGCATGTTATATAATGCATTATGCAACTCCAACAGTTTCACACTTAAACCTTGACGCAAACATTGAAATGCAATGTTTCAGTTTGTACGAACAGCCTGACCCATGCGCAATCAGGTTGCAATTGACGCCTCTAAAACTCTGGGTGATACCTTTTGACTTTTCCTCTTTGATGCCAAGGACCGTCGACCGAGATGGACTGTTCTCCAATCAGCGTCGACGCTCAAATGCAATCTCTTTGTCTATAATTAAAAATTGAGCCCACACCACGCAACTCCTCCCCTTTGTTTACATTCATAAGCGTAACATGTGCGCCATAAATTTGTTCAACTGACGACAGCACTATTCCGCTGTTTTTTTTCTTTCACGACCGATAATACACCGCCGGCAACTTACTGTACTGATCCAGGCTGAAGCAATAACTCGTTTTCTGCTGTCAATTTACCAGATTTTAAACTCATATTACTTATCCACCCTAAGATTTTACCAGTTACTGTTATTGCATCTATTTATTTCAAGATGTTAGCCGATTCTATTTCAGTAACTGTTTTGGTGCTTATGTTTTGTGACCAAAACACCAACATTTGATTCAACGTATAGGATTTCATCAGTCCTTATGGCTTAGGGGGGATATTGAAGCCTCAGGAAGCCTTGTATTACTTGCTATGGGGCTTTCGTCAGTTCATCGCTCATTCCGAAAAGTAACATTTTGCGGTTTCCATCGGGGAAAAGTTTCTTTGCAAATTTTGCATACCTAAACATGTGAAAGAAAAGAAAATTGAATGTTCATTCATAATACCTAATTATCAAATATTTTCATTTCATAAGGTGCCACACTTAGCACAACACTTAGCAAACTTTTTGTTAAAATCACATTTTCAACAATCAAAACGAGTTTTGATTTGAGGCAGCGCTGTGCTACTGGCGAAGAATCATGGCGGCGTTCATCAGGGGTGCCCGGGTGGCAATTTTGCCCAAAAATGTGTTTTCGGCCACTACTGTTCGAACAGTTTCTGTTGCCTCAGTTCTAAGATGTGGCGATTTGCTATCCCGGGTACCAAACAGCTCTTCTTGTCTCCTTAGGCAACATAGAAGGGTAAGTAACTTTAGATTACATATATGACGCCACTGATACAATCTTTTCGTACAATTTAATGTTGAATTAAAATGAGTCAAGATAATATAATGCAATTATTTCTGAATATATTGTTACCTTTCAAATAAGAAATGATTGTAAGTTGGTGTTATTATTGTGTCAATTTTTCAACTCACCTGTTCAACTCCCTGAAAGGTATCGTGAAACTTGATGCCATGAAAAGATTAATTATAGTTTTTCAAAAGGACGCTGGCTCCAAGTTCATTACCGAAGCTCTCACATGCGTTATGGCAGCTTCAGTGTCTGGACAAGAATTTCTTACAAAAAAAATTGATTTCAAATTCAGTAGTCAAAACTATGGTACTTATTGAGTGGTACCTACCTACCCAAATATAGGAACTCCCATTTTTGGGAACGGAAAATATGGGAATGGGCGTTCCCATTTATGAGAACGGGAGGCGATGTTTCGGTCGTTCGCCCACTAAAACTCATTTGTAATTGTGCATCACGTCAAAAAAGTGCATAATAATTATGTAGAGTACCGTAAAATGGGGTGTTAAAGATCAGTTTTGAGGTGTTTCATTTTGTAACTCAAGAAGGGTTGGAGATAGAAGCATCAAATTATCAGCATTTTATGTGGAATTTGGTGCTTTACATGCCTGCTACATTAAACTTTTAAAAATAATTACCTGCATATAATTTTTCATCATTTTTCTTCACTGTCCCTCAGCACCCCAATGTGGGGTGTTAAGGGACACCTATATTAACTCAAGAAATGGTCATCAAATGCCCACAATTGGGGTGTGAAAGGGCACACAATTTATTGATTGAAATGTTTTGCATATTCTGTCATAAAACAAGTCAGGTTCATTCACCACTTATGGCCTTTTCAGCCAATTACATGTAATGCAGTTTACGCTTCTGGAAAATATGCTAATTATAAGGTAGACAGAATCAAAAAGTACTCTTTTGTTAGAAGGATGAAGAATAACCTGTTGCTCATTTTCATCATAAATAGAAAAATAAACCAATATATATTCTGGCGTGGCCCTTCTTCAGTGGTACAAGATCACAATAAAACAAGAGACGCTTCTTGACAATGTGAAACGCAAAGAAGAAGCCTGGACCAAACACAGGAAGAACAGAAAATCCAAGAGACTGAAACAGAAATACATTGAAGCACGAAATGAAGCTACAAAGGCGGTCAGAAAAGCAAAACATGAATTTGAGCACAAGCTTGCATCAGAGCTCAAATCAGATCCAAAGGCATTCTATGCTTATGCCAGGAGCAAGATGACAATAAAGGAAGAAGTGCTGACTGTAAAGAAGGAAAATGGGGAGATGACAACTAGCATGAATGAAACCTGTGAAGTGATGAATCGACGATTTCAGCAGGTTTTCAAGAAATCAGAGGGGACAGAACCACCAACATTGGAGACAGTTCTGGATGACAAGCTGGAGCAGTGTATCATTGACCCAGTGGAGGTAAGGGCTTTACTGCTTAAACAAAAGACACCATCAGCACCTGGCCCAGATGGAGTACACCCCATTGTGCTCAAGGAATGTGCCACTAGCCTTGCAGTGCCACTGTCCATCATCTTCTCTCGCTCAATTGAGTCGGGTCGCTTGCCTAAGGACTGGAAGAGGGCAAATGTAACACCCATCTTCAAAAAGGGGAACCGATCAGATCCACTGAACTACCGACCTGTTAGTTTGACCTCAGTGCCCTGTAAGATCATGGAGAAGCTGATTAGGCAGAAGATTGTTAACCATCTTGAGACGAACGACCTGCTTAGCCAACAGCAGCATGGTTTTCGGTCAAACAAATCATGCCTGACTCAAATGTTGGAGTACCTTTATGATGTTGAGAATGCTATTGATGAGGGGGAATGCGTGGATACCCTGTACCTTGACTGCCGCAAGGCATTTGACACTGTCCCACACCAGCACCTCATTGCTAAGGTACGAAGAATGGGCTTGAACGGACAAATTCTGCACTGGATAACAGACTTCTTGATTGGACGTGAGCAGAGGGTGGCAGTGCAAGGTTGCCACTCAGGATGGAGAGAGGTTTGGAGTGGAGTGCCACAGGGTAGTGTCCTGGGCCCAACCCTATTTCTGATCTACATTGACGATCTCCTGGAGGGCCTCCAGTCACGTGGGAAACTTTTTGCAGACGATGCCAAAGTTTACCGAAGGATAAGAAGCCCTGATGACCAGATTGTCCTCCAGGAAGATATTGACAGGCTGCAACAGTGGACCAAGAAATGGCTGCTTACCTTCAATGAAGACAAATGCAAGGTGATGCACTTCGGGACAAAAAATCCACTGTACACCTACTCAATGGGGGACACCACTCTTACCTCAACCATTAAAGAAAAGGACCTGGGAATCACAATAACGCCAGACCTCAAAGTATCAGAGCAGGTTACGAGAGCGGCAGCTGCAGCGAACTCCATGCTGGGAAGAGTGAAGAGGACATTCACCTTCATGGACAAGGAAATGTTCCTGCCAATTTACAGAACACTGATACGCCCTCACATGGAATATGCCATCCAAGCTTGGTCCCCGTTTCTCCAAAAGGATGTCAACAGGTTGGAGAGGATCCAAAGGAGAGCGACAAAACTCGTACCTGAACTCGCCAATCTCCCTTACCAAGATCGTTTAGACCAACTGAAACTGACATCACTGGCAGATCGAAGGGTTAGAGGGGACATGATTGAAGTCTACAAGCTGGTCCATGGACATGACAAGGTGAATGCTGGAGAAGAGTTTTTGAAACTAGAGACCAGTACAAACAGGGAAAGGACACGCGGACATGCTCTCAGACTGCAAAAGCCAAGGCATCGGCTGCACAGACGCAATCAATTTTTCTCCTCGAGAGTTGTGGACCAGTGGAACCAACTGCCTGAACATGTGGTACTGAGTCCAAGCATCAACGCATTCAAGAACAGATATGACCGTCATATGACACTGAGAAGAGGCAGCATCCTATGAGCATCCGCTCCCTATGCCTCTTTCCTATCTACTATGGTGAGCAAGAGAGATGTATGTGACACACATGAGGCAAAATACAATATTTTGAATCAAATCACTCACAGGTATTTTGCATGTGCTTCCGAGATAGGCATCGATCTAGATTTAGATAGTAATAAATAGCTAATAAATGGTTGCACAGTACATACATACAGGGTGTTGCAGATAAATTGGGACTAAGTTCATGACCTTACAAAAAATTTGCTATGCGGAGGAACATCATGGAAATTTTATACAATATAATTTCAACAATTGTTTTTCATTTGATATTGAAATTTTAATCCTAACCTATCGCGCAGTCATGGAGCAGCGTCGGAGAGAAACGATTGGTGAGTTAGTTCGCGCCGGACAGAGCGCGAAGGACATAATAAGTTTAACTGGGTACCCAAAGTCTACCGTGTACCGAACTATCGCGACTGTAGGAGCTTGAGGGGGTGTCGCTCGACGTTCTCACACACCTCGCAGTGACCGAAAACGGACACCAACATTCCTGAGCGGCTTGAAACGCTCGATACAGGCCAAACCGAGGACCTGGATGAACAAGCTTGCGCGTGCCCGTCACGTGAGCAAGAGCACCGTCAGAATTCAGATGCCTTTTTGCCGACGTGCAATAAGTCGAAAATGTCAATTTGCCGAAATGCTAATTTGCCAAAATGTCAATTAATCGAAATGTCAATTCGCCGAAATGTCAATTTGCCGAAAAGTCAATTAGACGAAATGTCAATTCGCCGAAATGCTAATTAGTCGAAATGTAAATTTGCCGAAATGTCGATTAGTCGAAATGTCAATTTACCGAAAAGTCAATTAGTTGAAATGTCAATTTGCCGAAATGCCAATTAGCCGAAACTAACCTAACCTAACCTAACCTAACTTAACCTAGCCTAACCCGCGCCCTGGTGGGGTCTGTTTATAACGCGACCTGGTGGGGGGGGGGGCTATTTTTTGCCCCCCCCCCTCGTATCTCCGAAACTACTGGACGGATCCGCGAAATTCAAATGGCGTTCGAAAGGCCTGTCAAATTTGTCGAGGGAAACCAAATTTCATTGACCTCGGGGTCACCGATGATGTCTCAGGTCAGGTCAAAGATAAATGTTTCACCGTTCACGGGTCATCTAGGGAATGCGCTATAACACCGAAGAAAACGCATTTTGTCGAGAATCAGCGATAGGGCGTCAGTTGCCTAGTACAGCCCACCGCTAAAGTAATGTAGGGTTTTACCAATCTCAACGGTTGGCTTTGACTGGCGATTGTTTAATGCGGAGTGATCGAAAAGAAGATGTCAATAGCTAAAGTTGCAGCTGCAAGGGTGACGATACATATAAGCTACATTCAAAGTTTCATTGTAGTCTGGCTAATCGTTCCTAAGCTTCAGAAGCAGAACATACCCATGACTGAAACCCCACATTACTTCTGCTGTGGACTGTACATATGTTGCTATAAGAGGTCACTGACATTACCAGGTCAGGTCACAGGTCAGGTCACCAAGGGTCACAGGTCAGGTCACATGAACCTAACTTTAGGTACTAAGGTTGTGCGATGCATGTTTTATGGACAATTTTTCATTTCCAACTCAATGGTGTTGGTTATAAGACTATCAGGTACGGCTTAGGTGACTTTCTGGTGAAGGTCAGGTCAAGGTCAGGTCAAAAAAGGTCAAATTTTAAAGTTGATAGTTTTGCATAAAATGGGTATTGATTCGATGCAGCTCGTCACGGGGAGTCTAACGGTGGTCTTTGTTTTGCGCTACGGGGTCTAGAATTGCTAAAAATTAAGTTTTAAAATTTGACGTCATCAGTTTTGAACCGTTTTTTTCGCTATAACTTCGCCAAAAAAAGAGGTATCAATCTCAAATTTGGTATGTGGATAGGAGGCGGTAAGGACTATCACATATATTCCGGTTTTTGCGAAATTCCAAAACTTTTTGCATTTTTCGGCTATTATATTCAAAAAATCTATTTTTTATTTTTGGGGTCAAAATCCAAAAATTCAAAAATCTGAGATAGCAGTTTTGTAGCCCTGTCAATTCTACAGCTTTTATGTCTTTATCGTTTTCTGTATTTGCAAAGCTATAGGCCTGACAGCTCTTCCCGCGAAACCCTTTTTTGGGTCGAAAACTGCAGAACATGACGTCACTCTGACGTCATTTCCGGCCAACCTATCATAGCCTTTGGAAAAAATTGGTCACAATGTATAAAATTGATGTCCGGGAGGGTACTGAAAGTTTGGTGACGATCGGCGCAGCGGTTCTGGAGATATATCGAAAAGTCTGGGGGGGGTCAAAAATAGCCCCCCCCCCCACCAGAGCGCGGGCTAACCTGTAAGTATTAAAGGGACACTCCCACCTTAACATTAGTTTTGAGTTGAGATAACCAAATTGGTGGCCATGGCCTGCAAATACCGGTTTGGGCACTCACAACATCGAAAAATGCTTTAATTCGAAGATATGGAATTTCAAACTTGCAGTTTTCGGATTATAAGGGGCTAATGCATTGGAATGCGCCCTTAGAATTTGTGACGTCAGCGGAGATCTAACGATTTTTAAATCTTAGACTAAAACCATCGTTAACACGTGGTGGTATACGCTGCTTTGCGCGCAACGTCTGCCGCACTTTAAGGCTGCCAAATTATTGCTTCCAAATAAAGTCGCTAGTAACAGGGGAGATCCAAAAAAGTAAACAAAAGTAAAAGCCTAATATCATGGATGAAAGAACCTGGATAGGAAACTCCTATTCCTTCAACATTACGGGCAGCGTTCCGGGCGATCGACCTGCCACCTAGCGTTCGGTAAGTATCGGGACTGGAAACTCCCGCCGTTAAGCATTACGGTCTATGGGGCAGGGGGACGCGGGGCGGCATGTTTTGAAACGGGTATTAGACCGCAATGCGGATTTATTTTTAGGTTTAGAAGCTATTTACGACAGACAAAATTGATCAGGCTATCGAATGAGACCAAAACTATTATTGTCCGTTCCCCACAAAAGTCGTACACGAGGGCCGAATACAGGCGACCTTGAAAAAGAGGGCCATTTCTAGTGTTTTTCTCTTACGCGGCGCCGGTGAACGCTTACGCGGCGCCAGTGAATGCGCGGCAGACGCGGCTCCCGCTGCCGCCGCGCGTGCCCTCGGGCACTTACGGAAGGGAACGCAATCAGCTGTTAGTTTCCAATCCAGGTTCTCCTTCATCCATGCTAATATCTTGAAAACCAGTGAATATTTTTCGGTGAAATTTGGTAGATATTCGTTTTCGCTCTTTCTGAACCAAGGGACATTACTTTCATGCCAATTCATTAACTTTTTTGAAGGTGGGAGGGTCCCTTTAACTTTAGGACCAGCTCACTTTTCAAAGGTAAATTTTACACCTTCTTCCATGTTTTGAGCTCCTAAATCCTGATATGATGCATACTTACATGTCACCAAAATATAAGAAAAACAATCAAACCTTACCTAACCTGACCTACTGATTTTTGCCTACCCGTGGATGAGGAAGAAGTTACTCACATGAATAGATTGCAAACAATAAGTCAATTATTTTTAGGTTAAGTGGTTGTATATCAGGCTTCAGGCCTTTGGCCTGTGTCTCTCCTGTTATCTCTCCTAAGGCATTGCCTTCGGCACTGCACTGCTTCGCCACGAGCAATTTGATGTCATTTACCATATTGTATTGGTGCTTTTAAACTTGTTTGTGCCCTGAATAATTATTAGTTATGAAATCAGGAGGTCAAAGGATATCATGTGATTTGCTTCTTACTTGGGGATCCGGGATTGGACCAAAAGTAAATTGGTGATCGGTCCTAAAGTAAATAAATACCAGCTCACCTAACCTAGCCTAGGTTTGCAGATTGAGATTTTTCAACTCATCAACATTTCGGTAAATTGACATTTCGGCAAATTTACATTTCGACTAATCGACAGCTCGGCAAACTGCCAATTCGGCAGATTGAAATTTCGGCAAATCTACATTTCAGCCAATTGACATTTCGGCCAATTGACATTTCGGCAAATGTACATTTCGACTAATTGACATTTCGACTAATTGACATTTCGACTAATCAGTAATCGACATTTCGACTAATCGACGTTTCGGCAAATCGCATTTCGACTAATAAGCATTTCGGCTAATTGGCATTTCGGCAAAAACGCATGTCGGCGAATGGCATTTCGACTTTTAGCACTTCGACTTTTTGACACGTCGGCAAAAAGCACATCGGCAAAATGACATTCGACGAAATGCCTTCGGCAAAATGACATTCGGCAAATAGCCTTTCGGCAATTTGTCTGGACACCGTCCGGTCTGTGGTGTCCCGCTGTGTCCGGTGTGGTGTCCCGTTGTGTCCGCCGGCTGTGTCCGCTGTGGTGACCGGCTGTGTCCGCGGTGGTGTCCCGTTGTGTCCGCCGGCTGTGTCCGCGTTGGTGACGGGCCGCTCGGCTGCCGGCAGGCGGAGCTGCAGACGCGGTTCTACTCGGCCAAGGACCCGCTGACCCTGGATATCATCCGGGACCGGGTGCTGCTCGTGCTCAAACTCTACGACAAGATCAACCCGGAGAAGGTGAGCCCCGCCCCGCCGGCAGGCTGCACTGACAGCTGGTCGGTAGCGGAGGGGAGCTCCCGGTACGGAGCGGTGTACCGGAGAGGGTGAGCCCCCGCCGGCAGGCTGCACTGACAGCTGGTCGCAGCGCCCCTGGCCCACAATACCCACACCCCAGCCAGTCAGTCGTCCCAGGTGGTATTGAAGATGCCGGCAGCGCTGTCTGCGCGGGCTGCTGGGAGGCGCGGGCGGCGGCTGGTACAGAGCCCTCCCCTACCCCGCCTCACCCGCCGAGCCGGGACTGGGCGTCTGGCGCAGCTCCCGGTCCGCGGGCCGCGGTCAGAGGCCGTGAGACGCTCTGTCCGCTGTGGCTGAGTCGCCCCCTGTCTGACCGTATCTGACCGGACTCCCGCTGCTGGCTGTGTGTCGCCTCGTATCTAACCGTATCTGACCGGACTCCCCCTGCTGGCTGTGTGTCGCCCCCTGTCTGACCGTATCTGACGACCGGACTCCCCCTGCTGGCTGTGTGTCGCTCTGTGTGGCTGACTGTATCTGATGGTATCTCTCCCGCCAGCTCACGGTCGACTCACACTTTATCAACGACCTGGGGCTGGACTCTCTGGACCACGTCGAGGTTATCATGTCCATGGAGGACGAGTTCGGTGAGTGGGACCGATATATACCCTGAGTGGGACCGTCCTGTGCCCACCTACTGCACGCTGCCGCGGTCTGTTACCGTATTCACTGATACAGTGCTCAGCAGCCTCTGGTCTGTTACCGTACAGTGCGCTGCGGTCTGCGGTCTGTTACCATATACAGTGCTCAGCGGCCTCTGGTCTGTTACCGTACAGTGCGCTGTGGTCTGCGGTCTGTTACCGTACAGTGCTCAGCGGCCTCTGGTCTGTTACCGTACAGTCCGCTGTGGTCTGCGGTCTGTTACCGTACAGTGCGCTGTGGTCTGCGGTCTGTTACTGTACAGTGCGCTGTGGTCTGCGGTCTGTGTTACCGTACAGTGCGCTGTGGTCTGCGGTCTGTGTTACCGTACAGTGCGCTGTGGTCTGCGGTCTGTGTTACCGTACAGTGCGCTGTGGTCTGCGATCTGTTACTGTACAGTGCGCTGTCTGTTACTGTACTGTGGTCTCTGGTCTGTTACCGTACAGTTCGCTGTTGTCTCTGGTCCGTTACCGTACAGTGCGCTGTGGTCTGCGGTCTGTTACTGTACAGTGCGCTGTGGTCTCTGGTCTGTTACCGTACATCGCTCTATGGTCGTGGTGGTGCAGCCCTGTTATATCGGCTGGGTTCCAGATTCCCGACGTGGACGCCGTTCAGTGCTCTCTGCGGTTCGTTATCGTGTTGTGCTCTGTGCTCTGTGCTCTGTGCCCTCTGCTGACTGTGCAATGCCCTGTATTGTGTTACTATGCCGTACTGACTGTGCTCTCTACTATGTTACTGTGTTCTGTGCTCTGTGCTGACATTACAGTGCTGCGTTCTTTGTGTTACCGTGCTGTGCTGACTGCTCTGAGCTGACTGTGAGATGCTCTGTACTGTGCTCTGTGTTACCCTGCGCTGTGATCTGTACGGACTGTGCTCTGTGCTGACTGTGCGGTGGTGTGTTCTCCATGTTACCGTGCCGTGTTACTGTGCAGTGCTCTGTGCTCTGTGTTGGCCGCGCTGACTGTGCTGACTGTGCTCTGTGTTGGCCGCGCTGACTGCGCTGACTGTGCTGACTGTGACCTGCAGGGTTCGAGATTCCCGACATGGACGCCGAGAAGCTGATGCGGCCGGCCGACATTGTCCGGTACGTGGCCGACCGCGAGGACGTGTACGAGTAGCCCCGCCCCCCGCCCCCCGCCCCCTCCGCGCCGCCCGGCACAGGGGACGCCGCCGGCGGCACGGCGCGCCGCCGGCATATTGATTATGAATTGTTTCTTAGTGACCTACCTATTGTATGATTGGGTGTGAAATAAAACGACTCCGATGTGGCTTGTGGCCGTTTACGGAGGCTCGGTGTCTATGTAGTAACGGCTGGTGTCGTGTCGGTCCGTGGTGGGGACATACTGTCCGATCGCTGGGGAGGGCGCTGCTGAGTAGTGCTGAGTGCTGGGGAGGGTGCTGCTGAGTGCCGGGGAAGGTGCTGCTGGGTGCCGGGGAGGGCGCTGCTGAGTGCTGGGGAGGTGCTGCTAAGCCGGGGGAGGTGCTGCTGAGTGCTGGGGGAGGGCGCTGCTGAGTGCCGGGGAGGGCGCCCCATCTGCGCGCCATGTGGACGCGGACCGTGCGGCGCCTCTCTGCTACCTCCGTCCGCCGGGCAGCACCGTCAACAGGGGACAGACTGATCAGACGGGTGGCAGACGCGGGGACAGATATACAGAGTCGGGCGGCTGTATTGTCGTCACACGGTGAACGGGCGGCCACTGGACGGTGGAGGTACGTACACCGGCGGCCCCGGCCTGGTCGGCGAGCTGAGCACGCGCCCCGGCCTGGTCGGCAGGTGGGCGAGCTGAGCACGCGACCTTACACATCGGTTAGGGGTCAGACAATGACCTGCTAGTGGTGTGAGATGAATTCCGACTGCGAGGTCGCCCACATCCGGTGATATTGATGGACATGGACAGCGATGAGTGGCAATGTTGAGTGAGTCGGCCGGGCGGTGGTCGATCAGCCGCCCAGCCCCAGTACCCGTCTCTGCCGGCCGCCGTCCGGCACGGCGCTATTGCATCAGTGGACAGGCTGGGTCCTCAGGCTCACTGTCACGTCATTTCACTACGCGGCGCACAAACATGCTCACTCTGAAGACTAGAAAACACCTCCGAGCTCCGCAAATATCACACTGCTCGGTAACCAGGCGGTACCCAGCCGCGGCACACAGCGCCGCCGCACGGCGAGTCCGGTAACTAGTGTTTCAGCGGCGGACGCTGCGCGGCGCCACTGTCGCCTATAGCACCGTCTCCAGCTCCGCCACCTGCCACGACTCGGCGGCCGGCCTGCGGGCAGAACGGGCCGACTGTCAGTATCGGGGGCAGAACGGGCCGACTGTCAGTATCGGGGGTGCAGAACGGGCCAACTGTCAGAATCGGGGGCAGATGGGCCGATTGTCAGTATCGGGGCAGAACGGGCCGACTGTCAGTATCGGGGGCGGAACGGGCCGACTGTCAGTATCGGAGCAGAACGGCAGAGGGTCAGTATCGGGGGGCAGACCATCGGCCTTGAACGGACCGACGGTCCGGCCGGCCGCTGAACATGAGACACACATGGCGTGGTAGGTATGTGTTCACACATTGTGGAAAAATAACGCAATAAGTGGCGCACATAAATCGGCTAAAATGCCACAGATGAATGAAATGAGAGACGTTCCCATGGGGTATCATCGGCTAAAATGCCACTCCATGGGAACGTGCCTCTACACTAAATGCTAGATAGCAATACTGACTGAATCTGAAGGTTGTCCGCTGCGCTGACAACGTCCGTACCGGGTCAGATGTCCGGGGACTGGCGTGGAGATCCCTACCCAGTGCCCACCAGGGCTGGAGGTGCACATCCCCTGGTCCGGAGGTGCCGCCCACCTGGTGTGGAGGTGCCGCCCACCTGGTGTGGAGGTGCACACCCCTGGTCCGGAGGTGCACACCCCCTGGTCCGGAGGTGCCGCCCACCTGGTGTGGAGGTGCACACCCCCTGGTGTGGAGGTGCCCGCCCACCTGGGCTGGAGTTGCACACCCCTGGTGTGGAGGTGCACATCCCCTGGTGTGGAGGTGCACACCCCCTGGGCTGGAGGTGCACACCCCCTGGTGTGGAGGTGCACATCCCCTGGTGTGGAGGTGCACACCCCCTGGGCTGGAGGTGCACACCCCTGGTGTGGAGGTGCCCGCCCACCTGGTGTGGAGGTGCTGCGGCGCGGCCGGCGGCCACCGTTCGGCCGACCGGCTCCTCCGGACGTGGTTCGAGTCCATGATGTCGTCGGGCCGCACGTCCGGCGGCCGGCGGCGGCTGGCCGGCGAGCCGGGCAGCCCGCGCGCGCCGCACTGCTGCTCCAGCGCCGTCAGGCGCGCCTGCGCCAGCTGCAGCTCGTGCTTCAGACGCCAGAGCTGGGTGTCGCAGGCGGCGTCCCGGCACCGGCGCAGCGACTGCCGCAGCACATACAGACATACACACAGTCAGCGACTGCCGCGCGGCACATACAGACATCGACTGCCGCGACACATACAGTCAGCGACTGCCGCGCGGCACACACAGACACACACACACAGTCAGCGACTGCCGCGCGGCACACACACAGACACATACACACAGTCAGCGACTGCTGCGGCACATACACAGTCAGCGACTACCGCGCGGCACACAGACATACACTGTCTGAGGGCCGCGGGACACTGCACCACCGATACCGGATGGCGCCAGCAGGCCCGGAAAGGTTCCACCTGGGGTCCCGAGCGTCCGTTACGGTCTCTGTCCTCTGAGTTAACTCTGAGTTGAGGGGAGGGATCCACGTCGGCCTCCCTCAAAGTGTCCTAGGCCCTCTGAGATCCGACGCCGCCTCTTGACAAACCTTGCCGTGCATATACCTAACAAGTCCGTCATGAACTGTGTGGTTATTAGCTATTATGTCATTACTAATAAGGGTAATTATATCAATGCCCATACGAATTACGATGATCATACAAGGGTCAAGGAACACAAATTCAATAAGCGTGAAAATCACACAAGGCACAAGCTATACCAAAATCCTTCCTCAGAGTCCCGCATCTAGGCATCTGCTGAGCGATTCACTATCGGTTGTTCCGCGGCGGGCTGGCGGTGAGCAGTTTCCGACTATAGTCTCCAAGGGGTCCGAGGGACCGTCCGTACGTAGGGATCGTGTTCGTACCTTCATGGTGTTTTGCGCCTCCAGTACGACGCCGCGGAAGTTGAGCGACCTTCCCATGCTGAGGGACATGAGCGAGCAGCAGCCGCCCACGCGGTCCACCCGCGCCAGCCGCGGCCGCACGTACCTGAAACAAGACAGCACGCCACTTCAGGCCTCACCACGGCACAACTTTGATGGGCTATCATTAGTGTTACGCAGCACTGACTTATACACTTACAGCACACGCCCAGTGTGACCCGTTGAAATACAGGATGAGCCGTGTGAATGTTCGATCGCCAGTATTCGCCGGGTCCGGTCCTCCGGCGCGGCGTTTCAGTGCCGGTGCAGAGGTTAGCGTGCCATACACTGTGGGCCGCCTGCCCAGCCCAGCTGATATCAGCAGTGCCCCGCTCTCTCCGCCCAGCTGATATCAGCAGTGCCCCGCTCTCTCCGCCCAGCTGATATCAGCAGTGCCCCGCTCTCTCCGCTCAGCTGATATCAGCAGTGCCACGCTCTGGACTCCCCACCCCTCCCAGCTGATCAGCAGTGCCCCGCTCTCTCCGGCCAGCTGATATCAGCAGTGCCCCGTGCCCCGCTCTGTAGCCCCCCCCCCCGTGCCCCGCTCGGAGCGCACGTCCGAACCGTCGCGTCACTGACCGGAAGTAGAGGTACGGGACCGGCGCGCCACTGACCGGAAGTAGAGGTACGGGACCGGCGCGCCACTGACCGGAAGTAGAGGTACGGGACCGGCGCGCCACTGACCGGAAGTGGAGGTACGGGACCGGCGCGCCACTGACCGGAAGTAGAGGTACGGGACCGGCGCGCCACTGACCGGAAGTAGAGGTACGGGACCGGCGCGCCACTGACCGGAAGTAGAGGTACGGGACCGGCGCGCCACTGACCGGAAGTAGAGGTACTGGACCGGCGCGCCACTGACCGGAAGTAGAGGTACTGGACCGGCGCGCCACTGACCGGAAGTAGAGGTACTGGACCGGCGCGCCACTGACCGGAAGTAGAGGTACGGGACCGGCGCGCCACTGACCGGAAGTAGAGGTACGGGACCGGCGCGCCACTGACCGGAAGTAGAGGTACGGGACCGGCGCGCCACTGACCGGAAGTAGAGGTACGGGACCGGCGCGCCACTGACCGGAAGTAGAGGTACTGGACCGGCGCGCCACTGACCGGAAGTAGAGGTACGGGACCGGCGCGCCACTGACCGGAAGTAGAGGTACGGGACCGGCGCGCCACTGACCGGAAGTAGAGGTACGGGACCGGCGCGCCACTGACCGGAAGTAGAGGTACGGGACCGGCGCGCCACTGACCGGAAGTAGAGGTACTGGACCGGCGCGCCACTGACCGGAAGTAGAGGTACGGGACCGGCGCGCCACTGACCGGAAGTAGAGGTACGGGACCGGCGCGCCACTGACCGGAAGTAGAGGTACGGGACCGGCGCGCCACTGACCGGAAGTAGAGGTACGGGACCGGCGCGCCACTGACCGGAAGTAGAGGTACTGGACCGGCGCGCCACTGACCGGAAGTAGAGGTACGGGACCGGCGCGCCACTGACCGGAAGTAGAGGTACTGGACCGGCGCGCCACTGACCGGAAGTAGAGGTACGGGACCGGCGCGCCACTGACCGGAAGTGGAGGTACGGGACCGGCGCGCCACTGACCGGAAGTAGAGGTACTCGCAGCCAAGCAGCACGGCCGACAGCAGGATGCCGCAGCCGAGCAGCAGGAACGTCGACAGGAACTGGTCCAGCGTCAGCGGGTTGCTGCTCGACTTCTTCTGCTGGTCGGGCCGACAGGCGCCCGTGAACCTGCGGCCAGACACACACACGGCCATGTGACGCTGCGGCGCTACTGCTGCTCCTCGGCCGCTGATCGGGTCTGTGCCGTTCAACACAACATACTGGTACAGGGTATCCTATTTCATGTAACATGCATCAGTGATGTCAAGTTCTTAGGTACGTAACATTTGGAGATCAACATTCAACAATGATCAAATAGCAATCAAACCAATGAGATAATAGGGAAAATCAAAGTCATTTCATAGAAATATCATATTTCTTCAAAGCATCTTAAGCATTAATGCTCCTTCAACATAGATAATACCAACAAAATACCGAATACGTTGGGTTTAAAATGCTGTTATGATATACGTAGACCGACTATCGGACTATCATACCTACTAGTTACTAACTACTATAAAATTGGCATCCAATGAACATATGTAGTTTATAATTTACAGCTTTGCAATATTTTGATTGTGTGCCTTCCATCTTTATGTAAGTTATTAGGAAATATGCTACGCCTACCACTTCCGAGATTCACTCATTCATTCATTCATTCATATCTAATCACCATCGCTTATGCGATAACAAGCAAAGTATCCTTATAGCGGACTAGGTTGGTAAAACGTTTGAGTTCGAATGTGTTTGTGCTCTTTATGTTTTATGCCACTGCCATAGCTTTGCTGGTGTAATTACGGTGTAATTACCCAATTACCTGGTGTAATTACCTTTCAGCCACTCTCGCCTCGCCGCAATTTAGGTATGTCGCCTGGTTTATAGGGTCTCTGCTAATTGCTTTCTTGCATTTAGCGTATAGTCCTAGGTATACGTAGATGCATACACCATGGCAGATTCTTCCATTGTAAGTAATAGGTACTACTACTGTCGTGACGGAGAATGCTCCACTGGATGTCATAACGATATGAAATATATGTACAGCCCTCTGCAAACTGCGTGGTAGGTATTCTTTTTTCGACAAAAACGAGAATAATGCGAATACTATGCTATCGGTCATTCGCAAATCGTAATAGCAAGACGCGCGAGACTCCGCGCCTTAGATTGGCGTTATCAGCGTATTCATTTTCCACCTAGTTCGGCAATAAAACCCAAAAGTTTGTATTTGCCCCCAAAACAAACTTTTGCATTTTGTTGCCACACGAGGCGCATACTTTGTTTAGTGATACACCTAATCGAAGGAGTGGAGCATGGCGCACCTATTGGCAGTGAGTTCTGACCGACTGATAGCATAGCCTCTGAGTTATTATCGGTTTTGTCGAAAAAAGAGTACCTACCACGCAGTCTGCTGAGGGCTGTACCTATGCGTTAATAAATAAAATTAAAATCGAATAGCCAAAGCACTCGGCAAGACGTCTCGCAATTGCCCTGCAGGACAAATCGCACAATGCCTGCGAGGCCGTTTGGCACAGGATCCGAGTCTACAGGGCCACCGGTGTGGCGCGCTCCATCGCCACGCGGAACAATGACCGATCTCCAAGGACGTAGTCGACGGGCACGCTCAACGTAGGGTACAGTGAATCGCTCAACGCTTATCGGAGAGAATTCCCAACGCCATGGCACACACTTCAACTGCAGGCGCGCTGCTGCAGCCAAAAGCGTGAAGGTACTCATCATTGCGGTACAGCATAACTGCAGGCGTTTTACATCTGCCATCTAGCGGCCAGTAGTGAAGGTACGGTCATTGCGGCACAGTATCACTGCAGGCGTCTTACTACTGCCATCTAGCGGCCAGTAGTGGAGGTACGGTCATTGCGGCACAGTATCACTGCAGGCGTCTTACTACTGCCATCTAGCGGCCAGTAGTGCAGGTACGGTCATTGCGGCACAGTATCACTGAAGGCGTCTTACTACTGCCATCTAGCGGCCAGTATTGCAGGTACGGTCATTGCGGCACCGTATCACTGCAGGCGTCTTACTACTGCCATCTAGCGGCCAGTAGTGGAGGTACGGTCATTGCGGCACAGTATCACTGCAGGCGTCTTACTACTGCCATCTAGCGGCCAGTAGTGCAGGTACGGTCATTGCGGCACAGTATCACTGCAGGCGTCTTACTACTGCCATCTAGCGGCCAGTAGTGAAGGTACGGTCATTGCGGCACAGTATCACTGCAGGCGTCTTACTACTGCCATCTAGCGGCCAGTAGTGAAGGTACGATCATTGCGGCACAGTATCACCGCAGGCGCGCTGCTGGCTGGCCGGGCCGCCCGGTGCCTTGGCCGCACCGCGTTGTGAGGCGTTGCGGACGGGACAGGGCCGGGCAGGGGCGGTCGTCCCCACCAGGCCGGTTCGCGCTGCGCGGGACAAGGTGCGTCCCATGGGCGTGCTAAGCAGCTTCTTACCGGCTGTTTTTGTGTGAGCGCGGTGCCCTGCCGCCGCCGTGAGAGTAATGTTGACTGTGCGATGGCCGATGTGTGAAATATATCAAAGTGAAATGAAAACCTAGCTGCATGATGAACGGCATCAGATGTGCTTTGTTTTTATGGTGGCGCGTGGTGAGTCTGAAGTTACCAGGGTTCGATGATGACAATGTGTCAACGCTACCTTTATCAGTTGGTGTTCACCGAGTGAGCGAGCAACTTTATCTGTTGTTCAATGGGAAAATCACAGTATGAACGGCCCCACACAACCTCGCGGGCCGTAGCGATTTTTGCCGCCTTATATTTCGGCAAATGCTCCGCCGATCGACAAGCGGTCCTCTGCAGCATATAGTTCCATCTCTTCTTTCATGAGTTCACTAAACAGGATGCACGCCCATTGCACCTGGGTGACCACCATGGCACCGAGAGGGGTAAGCATTGCTCCGCAAACAGTTCAGTTCGCAGTGACTGGCTGACTGACTGCATGATTGTACTGTACGACTGCACGGGACGGAGCTCACCAGAAGCGGTGCAGCCGCTCCAGGTCCCCGTTCTGTCGGTAGTGCATGATCCTCTCGTTGAAGGCGTCGATGTGTTTGCTGTTGCGAGGAAAGCCCACGCCGTACCCTGCCAGAGAGACAACACATCAGCCCAGGCCATTCCAGTCCAATTCAGTCTTTTCCACTCTGGTATTTCCCAGCGAAAGCAATTATAGGTCGTCGGAGTTTTACTCGGGAATCTAAAATCGTTCCACAAATGAGATCATTTGAAATTATTTCCACGGCTGAGTGGTGTCTTTAAAGGCTGTTTCTAAGGTCTGCGGCTCTAATAGGCGGTCCGGCCGTATCGGTGTAAAATCGCCAGCTCATAGTGGACTGGGCCAGCAGACGGACGTCGCCTAGGGCAGACCGGGCGAAATGGGACCCGTCAACAACCACTGACCTGTCACCGACCACTGACCTGTCACCGACCACTGACCCGTCACCGACCACTGACCTGTCACCGACCACTGACCTGTCACTGACCTGTCGGCTGTCACTGACCACTGACCTGTCACCGACCACTGACCCGTCACCGACCACTGACCTGTCACCGACCACTGACCTGTCACTGACCACTGACCACTGACCTGTCATGGCGTACCACTGGCCAACGGTCAGCAGGCGGCACTCGTCATCCTGACCGGCGTGGTACTCGAGCACCGTGGCGTCGTAAATGAACGCGTCCAGCTCCCTGCAAACACAGGAGTCATAGATAAACGTCCAGCTCCCTGCAAACATATGTAGGAGTCATAGATAAACGTCCAGCTCCCTGCCACAGAGGAACAGATGGTACACTGTGCCACCATTCGTACGGCTAGGAACAGGCACTATTGGCAAAAACTGTTAGGTAAGTTTCTTGTCTGAAGGTAAGTTCTTTGTCTGATTTAGTCCATTGGAGATTATCAGAACACGTTTGAAATAGAAATGAGGAAGCAATACAGCAAAACGTAACACATATGGTGTTTTTAGTAAGAAGTCTGGTGAACTGTCAAATGTGCAGCTGTTTGCTGCTGACAGCTGCCCTGTCCCCGCCGGCGGCGGCGCGGCATCCGGCGGCAGCTCACCCGCTCTTGACGGCCTTGATGCCCTCAACGACGCTGCTCTTGTTGAACTTGAGCATGTAGTGGTGCATCTCGGGGAAGTTCTGTTTCAGCAGCGAGTCCGTGTTGCCGTGCAGGATGGTGCCGAACCGGAAATGGGGGTCCTTCCAGCGCGGGTCCCGCAGCTGCCGCGGCCGGGCAACGGGCAGCAGGGGAGAACGGGTTAGGGGTGCAGGCAGCATCTACATACATATGTATTAACCAGTACCACGCTGGGGGTATGAGGCAATATCCCTACAGCTGCTCATGTAGGTGAGAGCAGATCTAGTACTTATTCGGAATATCGTAAAAATAGCTATTCCTAATTCATTTTAGCTAAGGTAGATTTAACGCCAGGCAAGACGACATGGACCATGGATTCACCAAAAACCGTTCACAGACAGCCCATGGCAACAGCCGACTGTTATTTTCGTTGACAGCGTGTGTGACGAACTGGTGCAGCTGGAGCTGCATGGCTTGGCGTGTTCTGCGTTATGGACGGCGGCGCCCCTCCCCCCTCCCTCCCCGCTGCCGTCCCCCGTGTGTCCAGAGAGAAGAGAGAGAGAGAGAGAGAGAGAGAGAGAGAGAGAGAGAGAGAGAGAGAGAGAGAGAGAGAGAGAGAGAGAGAGAGAGAGAGAGAGAGAGAGAGAGAGAGAGAGAGAGAGAGAGAGAGAGAGAGAGAGAGAGAGAGAGAGAGAGAGAGAGAGAGAGAGAGAGAGAGAGAGAGAGAGAGAGAGAGAGAGAGAGAGAGAGAGAGGATCGCCGGCTGACAGAGCGCGGACAGAGCTCCGGGAGAGGGAGAGGACAGAGCTCTGAGAAGGACCGGCTGATCGGGCCATCGATACCCCGGCGGCTGCGGGCGGCCGGCGCCAGCTGTGACGACCAGCTCTCCCGTTATCCTATCCCCCATTACATGTCCGCCGGGCCGCCAGTTCGCTTTGTTTACCACCAGTCACCACACACGGATAAGAGATAACCGGTACTGACAGGAGATCGAGAGGACTTCCCGGCGGCAACCAAAGAGTTATGGCTGAGCTGAAGTCAGAATCGGAAACTGTAAATTTGTTTTCTCAAGTGACAGCCGCTGCCCGACCCGCACTTTTCTGATTGGCTTACAGAGCGACGGTGGATCCGACTCTGATCCCCCTAGGATCCGGAAAATTTAATGGAACAGAGTTAGGTGTCCGAATAAATCGTATGAAAACAAACACAAGCGCACATTATCGTTCAATATCTGCTACCGGTGCCCAGCGTGCGGCACGAGGCGTCTGTCCAATGCCTGCAGTGTTCTGTACTGTCCAGCGTCATGTGTCTATACTAGTGTCCGTGTACTGTTTCCGCTGTCTTGTGTCCAGAGTCCATATATCAGTAATAATAGTGTGGTGTCTTGGGCTCTGTGTCCACTGTCCACTGTCCACTGTACGTTATCCGCTGTCCAGTGTACAGTATCCGCTGCCCTGTGTCCTATATCCGCTGTATAGTATCCACTGCCCCGCACCCTGTGCCGCAGCGGCCGCCCCGGCGCGCTCAGCTCACCCTGTGGTCGTCGATGCCGTCCAGCTTGTAGTACTCCTCGCGGGTGATCATGAACGCCGCCAGGTTGGCCGTGTAGATGGCCAGGAAGATGAGCGCAAACAGAGCCCACACGTTGGCCATGAACCTGGTACCGCAGACAGTAGCACAGTCGGTAACAGGGCGCCCATACGGTCGGTAACACGGTAACAAGGCGCCCACACAGTCGGTAACAGGGCGCCCACACAGTCGGTAACACGGCGCCCACACAGTCGGTAACAGGGCGCCCACACAGTCGGTAACAGGGCGCCCACACAGTCGGTAACAGGGCGCCCACACAGTCGGTAACACGGTAACACGGCGCCCACACAGTCGGTAACAGGGCGCCCACACAGTCGGTAACACGGCGCCCACACAGTCGGTGACACGGCGCCCACACGGGACACAGTCGGTAACACGGCGCCCACACAGTCGGTAACACGGCGCCCAGAAGTTGTCCATGAGCCTGTCCAGCGCAGCGCAGCCGGTAACTATTGCTAGTTCGTAACCATACGATCTAAGTAGTTAAGTAACTGCCTGGAAATGATCAGTGTTTTATGATGGTGTTTTCGTGTCTCCACCTGGCTTATTCTACGTCCCACGACAAAGGTATGCCGGGTAATGGAGCGCTAGGGCCCAACTGAGGACCGAGGTCTGATATAGCAGAGCACGCGCGGCGGTTGGGGGGGGGGGGGGTGCGACGAGCTCCTCCCGGCTGATAGCTATTAGCGATTACATTGATTAACACTTACTTGGCGCGACTTTAATTAGCTGAACTGATTTGCATAGTTCAAACTCAGACAATTTCCGAACAAGGGCCTGTTTTCTTGCGGCTCCTACAAACCGGATTTCGGAAGGTTCATCTGATCTGCTACATATGTAGGTGTTTCATCTGGCATAAATGCTAGGTACGTGTAGCTATCTGTCTTGGCCACTCTTCACCTTCTTTTCAAATTTAATCCTATCTGTGTCGCTCGATGCATCAATATTATCAGGAGTTGAATGATTGGTTTTCAACAATGTCGGGCTGCTTTAAAAGCGGATGGGATTGTGCACTTATCTGTACGATGCGCACAGTTCCAGTGACTGCAGAACGATGTTCCACTTTTCACAGGCATTTAATTGTTTGGAGTGATAGGCTGTGCCGCATCACACGAACTGAGTTCACAACTAAATGCTGTGACCTAGCGTTTACAAAAAACATGATTAATTGCGTGATAAACGGCACAACTTACCGTTCTACTCAGCTGATAACTTCTGAGGAGTGGAACATCATTCGGTAGTCAACTGTACAATTAAATGGGCAATCAGCAAAGAAAAATGTTTTAGTGCTTTCCAACTATTGTAAATTCAATTGACACATGTTGTTTTTATTTAGCAAATTGAAGAATACTGGCCATCGTTAAAACTTAAAACTTCTCTCATGGCTCTGCTCTGACCGTGTGCTGTACATTGTGCAGTGTATATGTACGGTTGATGTGTATATGATCAGTGTATATGATCACCTGAGTGTAGGCTATGTGTGTGCGCGCGCGTATGTGTGTGCACTGTATGTATATGTCTTGTTTTTCTAGTCAAGTGTGTACAACTATGTGACTTGACCTGCTATTGGGCTATGTCTGTTTGATGATTAATACAAGATACACAAGATACAAGATACAAGATGCAAGATACAGTACACGGTGTACAGCCGTCCCAGAGTGCTCTGACCTGGCGGTATGGCCGTCCCACAGTGCCCTGACCTGGCGGTGTAGCCTCGGGGCACGTCGAGCTCCACGGCAGCCTGAAACAGGATGGCCCAGACCATCCACAGCGTGCGGAACAGCGAGAATTTGTAGTCGGACGGCGGCGCCACCTGACGGACAAAAACAAACGCACCGATCGGACCGAGGTCGGTCACCGACCAGATAATAGCCGTTTTCACACTGGCCATCCGGTACACATTTGGTGCAGATTAGGTGCAGAATTGGTGCAGATTTTGTCAAGGCATGCTCAGTGTACTTCTAAAAAGCTATCGGTTTGTGTTGCATGGAAGCTTATATACCTCACTTTCAAATTATTAGGCTTTGTTTTCGATTAAAACACTGAAATAAATTCATGATATGAAGATACATAGGTATTTGCTGTACGAGTAAAAGGGAGTTGGTGAAGATTTGGTCAAATTCGTCAGATAGCCCGTCGTGAAAACGACTACTACCGTTCGGACCGGGCCGCTGGCCAGACACTCCCACTCGGACCAGGTCGCTGGCCAGACACTACCGCTGGGACCGGGCCAGACACTACCGCTGGGACCGGGACAGACACCACCGCTGGGACCGAGGTCGCTGGCTAGATACTCCCGCTCGGGCCGGCGCGGGCCGCCGCGCTGGCCAAACAGCTCCGCTATGTTGGTGAAGTCAACATTTTCTCAACATTTTCTCACGTCGTTTTGCGTATCCAATAAAAACAGCCGTATTTTTTGTATAACGCTTTAGTTTTGTCTCATCTTCTAAGTGACCTATGTGTATAAGAGAGCGATGCGGGGGAAAGTGTGGTAAATTGGTCTTTTTTTTTAGAAAACGATGTACCCGAATGTAAAGACACTTCTCTGTATTGTGCCAACGCTAGCTGGCCTTTCATTCATGTTTCTTTGCGGGATTAAAACTTAAAAGAAAAGATGATGAAACAACCACTCGTGTGAAAATTTTGACGCCATTCAAAGGTCTGAGACAAATATCCCGGCTAGCGGGATAGCCTGGCCAGTGCAGGGCTGGGGCACTGGCCAGGCTATCAGACGTCAGAGGTCCGAAACGTATGTCACCAGTGACTGAAGTGTCAGCGGTCGGAACCGTATGTTACCGGTGACTGAAGTATCATCAGCGAAAAGTTTTCTATATATGGTTCCCAGACTACTCGATTTTGGACATAGACTATTAACCCTAGAACGCCTAGGGGGGGGGGGGGTTGTATCACCCCCCCCTGAGGTTTTTTTCGAAGTGCACGCTCATGGGTGGAGAATGTTTGAAAAAGTTACCCCGGCCGGCGACCGATAGTCGGAAAGACGACTAAGCTCACGTTGTTGTCAATGATCATCATAAACAAACCCCTATTCTGACCCATGGTAATGGAATAATGGACGTTGTGTTTGTTCAAGGGTGAGCGTTGTATCCGACATTGTTACGGAGCGAGCGAAGCGAGCGTAGTCTTTCCTTAGATTAACGGAAATTTCTGAGTATGAGCGGCCGGCCGGCCGGCCGGCCGGCCGGCCGTGGTCACGCTTTTGCGAGGCTTATATCTCAGCAACCACTTGACCGATTTACACGCGGTAATTTTTGTAGGGTAGCTTCATTCCTTCTACCAAGCATTGGACTATTCCCGATGCATGTGGGTGACCCCTTATGCACGTGCCACGTGCAAAACGAAGAGGTGTCACTTTTGTAATTGTTGCAATATTTCGGTAACTACTTGGCCGATTGCGCTGAAAGTTGGCATGTAGGTAGGCACCCACTAGGCACTGCATACACATGTGCCAGAGTTGGGGTGCTGCTGCACGTGCGCACGTGCAGGGGTCGTTTCCAGATCTCGAGAACGGCTGGACCGATTGCGCTCAAATTTGGTACACGGTTAGGGACCGGTTAGTAGGGTGCCGTGCACAAGTCAGTTGGGACCCATTTTGCACGTGCGCACGTGCAGGGTGCCGCTTCCAGATCTCGAGAACGGCTGGGCCGATTGTGCCCAAATTTGGCACATCGCTAGAGACCAGTTAGTAGGGTGCCGTGCACAAGTCAGTTGGAGGTACCCCCTCGCAATTTCGCACGTGCAAGGCCCACTCTCTCGCTCGCTCCGTTAGTCGCCCCAAAAGGCGTTATACTGGTATCATTACGGAGCGAGCGAAGCGAGCGTAGTCTTTCCTTAGATTAACGGAAATTTCTGAGTATGAGCGGCCGGCCGGCCGGCCGTGCGGACGCTTTTGCGAGGCTTATATCTCAGCAACCACTTGACCGATTTACATGCGGTAATTTTTGTAGGGTAGCTTCATTCCTTCTACCAAGTATTGGACTATTCCCGATGCAATTGGGTGACCCCTTATGCACGTGCCACGTGCAAAACGAAGAGGTGTCAGTTTTGTAATTGTTGCAATATCTCGGTAACTACTTGGCCGATTGCGCTGAAAGTTGGCATGTAGGTAGGCACCCACTAGGCACTGCATATCCATGTGCCAGAGTTGGGGTGCTGCTGCACGTGCGCACGTGCAGGGGTCGTTTCCAGATCTCGAGAACGGCTCGACCGATTGCGCTCAAATTTGGTACACGGTTAGGGACCAGTTAGTAGGGTGCCGTGCACAAGTCAGTTGGGACCCGTTTTGCACGTGCGCACGTGCAGGGTGCCGCTCCCAGATCTCGAGAACGGCTGGGCCGATTGTGCTCAAATTTGGCACATCGCTAGAAACCGGTCAGTAGGGTGCCGTGCACAAGTCAGTTGGATTGGAGGTACCCCCTCGAAATTTCGCACGTGCAAGACTCACCCCCTCGCTCGCTCCGTTAGTCGCCCCAAAAGGCGCTATACTGGTTCATAACATTGTTGGCGATGATTGAAAAGGCGATTTTCTTTTAAGTGATTTTTTTACTTAAACTTATGCAATTTCACAACATATCCAAACCATACCTATCATGAGTCATTATGAGTAAATGTTGCGTTTTCAGCTTCTTATTGTGTCTCAAAATAGCTACAAAGAGATGACAGCTCACCTCGTAGGAGCTTTACAGAGAAAATTGAACGTTCGAACCAAAGCACTAAAATGGGTCACTGACATCCAGGGACACAGTCTTTTTCAATGTTGGGTGGCTCAACCTCTTATAAGACAAACAGAGAGTCTATCCAGGGATATCGACCGGTCCCAGTCTCGTAGCTCAATCGCTTGAGCGTTGGACTCCGCGTGGCGAGAGCACGCGTTCCGGTTACAACAGTCCGAGCTCGAAGCGTGACGGACGCTCGGTGTATGAGCATCCTGACGGCTACGCACTGATGACGGTATGGTTGCGGTTTGTGGCAGGCCAGTCGAAGGCAGTGAGGTCAAGCAGTGGTTCAAAAAAGTGCGGCGAAGGCGCGCCAAATTTTCGAAACTGAACACGATTTGAGAGCAATCCTGGCATTGGCAACAACACGCGGTGCTAGGGCTCAACGCCACCGCATGGTAAGTTGAGTACCTAAATAGCGTAAATACCCTCCTGATTTGCAGTATTACGCCCATGGCAGTCAACATCCGAAAAACGACAGTTTTCTTTTCTCGTATGGCGACAGCTTTTAGGATTTACAAGAGTGGAAAAGTTACCCCGGCCGCGCCGGGGTAGGCTGAAAGTTACCCCGGCCACGGCCGGGGTGGCCGGGGCATGTTCTCCACCCATGTGCACGCTAAACGGCTTGTCGTAGCGGGCTGAAATTTTCAATACCCTCTGGGGCAACCTTTGCGCATCTTTTGCCGAAAAAAAATTGATCGGGTCATGTCAGGTCACGGAGTTATGACGTCATAAGAGGTACAGCCTCCGGCCGACAGTTACCAAACGTGTGCGCCGAATCCCTAGGTTTTCTGCCGGTGATACCCACATTGTTTGATGGATCATGATGAAACTTCCCATGCATGTTGGGGCAAGCATTGGCTATCGTGTGGTGCAAGAAAATTGACCGGGCAGGTCAGGTCACGGAGTTATGACGTCATAAGAGGAACAGCGTCCGGTACTATTTTTGAAAAGCGCCCGAACCACTATTTTGCTAATTCTTGTCACCTCAATGGGAATATGCAGCAATATTAGCTTCTATAAGGAGCAAATGGACCTTCCAAATCCAAAAATACAATCAGATTTCAAAAATTTAAATTTTGATTTTTCGAATTTCTGCCGCCGACTGTGACCTTGCCGACTTCCGGCGCTCCCAACGCGCCATTTTTAGAGCTAGGGAAACGAAATACATACCAAACGATAGAGAATTGATCAAGGAACACGATAGTGAAGGTTTCAAGTCGATATCTCCCACCGTTTTGCCGCAATCGCCGCGGAAAGTTGAAAAAAGTCTATTTTTCCGAAAATTTGACCTTTGACCGGTCAAAAGTAGGTCAAATGTTGACCTAGGACCAAAAAATATACCACCAATCGCGAGATCTCGTTGAGAGCAATCCGTTGGTTTTTTCCGCTAAGCTCTACGACCTTCCGTTTCGAAACGCCAGGGGGGGGGGTCGTAACAACCCCTGGTCGTTCGTGTTATGAGAAATGGCCTGGTCGTGCGAGGGTTAAATATGAGCATAGTTATTACTTTGACGTGAACGGGGAGGGCAAGGAACTGAAATACAAAGCCGAAAATCAGCTTCGTTTGACGGTCTGGAAAAACTTGTATTTTTGACTGCAAAGTTGTCTTCAATAGCAAGCGAAACAGGGGTTGGGTCGGCAAGTGGAAGCTTTTCAATCCCATTTGTATTTTAGCGTGGTGATACGGCATTTGACCTGATCCCGGGTGACAGCGGGCCTGCTAGCCTCTCCGCATACATTGGCTCCGCATAGTCCCGCTCAGCGAACAAATGCCCTCTCTGAACAGAGCTTTACCCGATTGTCGAAACAAGATCGACAAACACTGAACGTTTCCCTGGGTTTTCTATCGCCGACTCGAGTGTTTGCGATCTCGGAGGCCTGGGTGCAAAAAGGAGCTGTCGATAGCTGATTGGACATGTAAAGGATATGCAGAGGAAATGGCGGTCATCTGTCCCCGGCCCCACCCAGCGAACGGTATTGAAACATCTCTGCCGTGTGTTGACGGCGCTGGAAGTTCGGCGGCGCGGCCAGGGAAATGGCAGCCATCTGACACTGATGGCGGAAACGACCCCCCCCC